GATCCAGATGGCACACACCACATGGGCCCAGTGCCCATCACTGGTCTGTTTGAAGGCGCCACCCTTGTTGGGGCAGAGGACGCAATCCACAGGCCGGGAGGGAGACTGCAGGCAGCAGCGGCACAGCCACTGGCCCTCAGGGATGTAGGGGACGCCATAGCACTCCTGGTGTACAGCCAGGTTGCAGATGTCACAGAAGAGAATGACGTTGCTGTTGTGGCACTCGTCATCCAGGCACACACAGCAGAAAGCATCTTCATCAATGAGTGACTGTTGGGCCCCACTACTGCGACTTTCCAGGTATGACTCCTTCTCAAGCCGGTCCACCAGCAGCTCAAAGGTGTCTGCCGACACCAAACTGTACCCATCTACTCGCCGCTTCTCATTTACCAAGTCCAGCCAGGCGAGGTCCTCTTCATCCATGTCATACTCGACTTCTGCATCCAGATCTTCAGGTGACTTTTCAATGTAGCGGTAGTAAGCAGCAGGCAGCGGGGGTGCTTCTGGCTGAATGCCTGAGTCCACCATGCGGAAGCTGGGTTGCGGGAGGTGGAAAGAAGAGCCAGATGCATGCTTGGAGCAGGACTCCTTCTTTTTGCCCTTGGACGAGGATTTTTTGGACTTGCCAGGGAACTGAGGCTGCTCACTGTTTTCCTTGTTACTATTGCATTCGGTGATATCCTGGGCAGTCAACTCATCCTCTGTGATGATCTTGAGTGGATCATAGATGCTAATACGATGCAGGCGTCCATCAATGTCCACCTCCACAATCCGCTGGGCCTGGGCATACGTCAGGGTCTCCCGAGTGGGTGAGCACTTCAGACTATACGGGGATGGGGAGCGCCGGCCCTCGGCATTCGGCCGCGACTTTCTGCGAGGCTTCCTCATGGCACCTGGGAACCAATGAGACACACCTAAGGAGAGAAGGCCAGGAGACTGATGGTTAGGATGGATGCTGGATCCATGGATCCATGCATGCTGAATGGTTAGGCATCTATGCACTCATTTATCATTCCTTCTGAGCAGGTGGCCACTGAGCAAACTGGCTATTTCCTCACCCTGAACACCCTACCCCTCAGGCATCATTTACCATGGCTTGCTCCTTCACCTCTTCCAAGTCTTTTCATAAACAGTGCTTCTCAGTGAGTCCCTCTCTGGCCATTCTACTGAAAACTGAAAATCCCTTTCCCTCATCAGTCATCTTTCATCCTGCTCTGTTTTTCACTGTTACTTACACTCACCAATTTTTGCTGTGCTATGTAATTTACCTATTTATCATGGATATTTTCTTCCTTCCACTAGAATGTGGGCTTTCTAGGTGAAACTAGTGGTAAAGAACCTGCCTGTCAATGCAGGAGATGTAAGATATAAGAGATGCAGGTTCGATCCTTGGGCTGGGATCCCCTAGAGAAGGACATGGCAACCCACTCCAGTATTCTTGCCTGGACAAGCCTGTGGGCAGAGGAGCCTGGCGGGGTACAGTCCTTAGGGTCTCAAAGAGCCAGACACAACTGAAGTGACTTAGCCAAACACAACTGAAGTGACTTAGCACAGCACAGCACTAGAATGTAAGGTCCATGAGGGGAAGGATTTTTGCTTGTCTTGTTCCCTGTTGTATCTCCAACAAGTGTTAGCTGAACGAAACAAGAAACCAAACACATGTGATCCCTACCCTTGAGGAGCTCTGTCTGATTGAAGGGACAGAAAAGTACAGATCACTACAGTGAAACATGGGGAGAGAGCTAACATTCTAATAATGTACATAAGGCTGTGGGACAGCCAACTACGAAAAAAGGGGGTGGTGGTTAAGACTTAGGAAAGGAGTGAACAAGAATAGCATCCACTTATAAGCTCTACGCATGAACAGTGTAAAGCCATGAACAGCGGCCCCATGAGGGATCAAAAATCATAGGCCTAGTGCCCTTTCCCAATTGATCTTACCATGATCAGAAACCCTATCCCCTTATCACACTCAGGGGTGAAGGGGGTGAAGGCACCTGAAATGTCTACTACATATGGTCTAAGCACTTCAAACTACAATGTGCAGGGTATTCTCTGCAAAAGGCAGCATGATGCATTGGCTAGTACATCTCTAAGCAGAAAACCTGGAAGCTCTGGGAGTGGCCTCAAGTGGCCTATATGGGACTCTCACCGGACCCAAGGCCAAGATAATGAAGGTAATATCTGATGTAAACTCTCAATGTATCTGTTACCTCAAAGTCCCTCTCTCCCAAAATACTTCGTCTACCTCTGTGCAACAAGGAGAAACCTCTAAGTTTTTCTCACATTGTTTTCTGGGATGAAAATAATTATGACAAGCTCAGAAGGAGCTGTGGTCGCAATTACCAAGACCATCAGTGCTAGAAAAGACCTTTGAGGATATGATGCTCTAAGGTATAAGCAGAGACTTGGAAGGCTATGAACAAGGAAATGATTTTAAGGAGACAAAACAGAATCTGTCACTTTGGTTGCAAGATCTACCATCTTTATAAAGTGGCAAGGGTGATGATAATGTAACACACTTTTCTACAAAGCCCTTTTGCTTTTAATACTGTTCACAACTATTTTGGAAGGTAGAACAGATATCCTCATCCCCATTTTACAGATGAAGAAACAGAATCCCAAAAAGGTATCATTCCATGCAATGCTAGTAAACGATAAAGCTACAATTCAAACCCAGATCTTTTGATCTGCTCAACTCCTCTCACTAGGACGTTAAGTACACCACAGAGATGCCATGGTCTGGTACAAAAAGAGGCTCTGATGCAGTCCAGATTGTAATCTTGGCCCAGTGTGACCCCCAAGAAAGTCACTGAATCGTTCTGTGCCTCTCTACTTAATCAGTAAAATGAAATTAATAAAACAAATCTCTCAAGGGTTGCTACTTATTAATAAAGTACCGTTACCATTCTTACTCAAAATGCCTTTCAATCCCAAAGTGTGACTGAAACAAAAACAAACAAAAAGCAACTTTACTGAGGCACAGTGCCAGGCAAGCACAAACCGTATTTGGACCCAAAGGAAAGAGAATCATCACAGCAATTCTGTGCAGGTTCCAGAGACCCTTGGCCACTCCATGACTTACAAACGCCAACTCCCCTGGGGAGCAGCCCAGGCTAACGGACCTGCTTTATTACCCGCCCCCCTCCTTCAAGGGCGTGGAGACCCCTGCAGAGTAAAAATCTACCTCAGTACTAACTCGAAATGGCCCAGAGAGCAGATGAAGCCCCTCCTTTGTCAAAGCCACGGTATATTACCCCTCCCTACCCGCTATCCGCTACCTCCTGGGCAGCTCGTAGCGAGGGTCTCTCTCAGCCAGGCGGCAATATCTAGAGACTTCTGCTGTCCTACCCAAGACGCTAGGGGGCAAACTCCAGAGGGGGGAGGGCTGCGGCTGAGGAAAAGGAGTTTCGCCCGCAAGGAGCTTACAGTCTAGTTTTTTGGCGGGAGTTTCTCATCCCACACAGCCCTTCCCACATACACAGCTTCAAATACCTCCCAACACCCTCAGAGGTCTACCTGGCACCCCCTGAGCCCCACTTCGCCCACCCCACACAGGTCCTCGAAGAACGAGCTTCTGCAACTAGACTGTTGCCCCTACACCCCACACGAAATACTCATGAGACAAGGGAGAACCCCAGCCAAGGCTCCCTGCCCCTTTAAAGGGGCACCTCTTCCAGAAGAATCTTGATCCTTCAGAGGAGAAAGGAGGGAAAATAACATCTCCTCACCAGAGAGGAGGCGGCGAGCGCGCCACAGACAGACTGACGCGGAGTCCGACCCTCAGACAGAGAAAGCTAGCGCCTGCGAACGAGCGGGGCGCAGAGGCGAGAGCCCATTGGCCGCCTCACCTACCCGTCAAGAGGAACTGGGGGGCCAAGGGACGTTCAGGGGGTGGAAATCTCCTCTGGTCTGACCAATTGGAGAGTGTGGCGGGGGCGGGGCTCGGTGGCTTGGCTTCCAGGACCGGGGGGAAAACAAGATGGCGGCTGCGGGAGGGGGTCCTCGCTTTTCAGCTCCCCCCCTCACTCGCCTTCTCCTTCCCCGCCGCCACCCTGGCTCCAGGAGAGAGCTTTCGCGCCGCCCTCGTCCCTGTCGGGAAGCCCCTCGCTTCCCTCCCCCCACCCCGCTCAATCCCTGGTCTCTGTAGGCCCCGCTGCCCTCGCCCCCGCTCCGTCCGACCCCGCTGCCGCCCCCATTACCTCAGCCGCCGGCCCGGCCCTACCGTTCGGGACCCCTGGGCGCGGGCGGGCCAGCCGTGTAGTAGGTTGGCGCGGCCCGGGGAGCGGAGCGCGGCCTCCTCCCGCGCTGGCCTCCAGGAGCCGCCGCCGCCGCCGCCGCTGCCGCCACGGAGCCCGGCCGAGGGGAGGGAGGGATCAGCCCCCAGGCAGGATCCGCCCCTCCGGCCTCCCCCCCTCCCCCCGCCACCTCCACCCCTTCCCTCGCTCCCTCTATGGCTCCGCGGGCTCTCCCGCTGAACGGGATCGAGAGCGCGAGAGAGGGAAACGGGGGGGAGAAAAAAAAAATCCCCCCGCCCGTACCCGGCGCGGCGGCGGCCGGGGCGGTGCGGAGCGGAGCGGAGCGCGGAGCCGCTGCCGCCACAGGGCACGGTCCCCTGCTCGGCCTCACGGTGGCGGTGCGGACGCGGCAGGGGCGCCTAGCAAAGGCGGGATCTGCGCTCGCCGCAGCCCCGGTTCACCCCGGCCCGGCTCGCCTCCTTCGGGTCGAGCCCGACCAGAGAGCTGGAGGACGTTCGGATCCAACTGAGAAAGACACAAGTCCCTAACTCCTCTTAGAGTGGTTGGTCATACCCTTCCCCCAGCCCTGCGGGGGAGGAGGCTAAGGTTTGGAGCGACAGCCCCTCTCCCCGAGCTAGAGGGTCTCTAAGCCAAGAGCAATCACTGAAGACAAAATCGGTCTGCAGTTTTTTTTTTGTGGTGCAGGTGCCTGCACTACTTCTAGAAAGTCGTCCCCACCCCCCCCCCCCCACCCCCGCGTCCAGTTCAGAGGACAAAGGTCTATCGATGTCCATACCTTCCCCCAGTGAGGACACCCGGGGAAGACCTGCCTGCTTCTGTTGTGTACAGGTGAGCGTCTGATTCCCCACCAGACATCCTTTATAAGAATCAGACCTGACTCTTCGCTTTGCCCGGTCCTCTCCCTTCTGGGTTTTAAAAAGCGTAAACACAGAAGTTTGACAGTCTTACTTAAGGACGTCTGGTAACTCGTTTGTCACTATAGACACGGGAAACACCCTTCTTACACCTGATTTGGCTAGGAGCCGGTTACTGTAATGCAAAAGCGATTTTCTAATAGATGTTCGGCAAATGGCAACTTCAAACTCTCAGGTATCAATAATCAGCCCCGCTTTTGCTTTCGTAAATAAATTTGAGAAAAGGGCGCGTTTGCCACCCCTCTTTTGCCTATAAATTGGAAAGCTTACCGCATATGACTGAAGTCTTAAGCACCAATATTTAACGATGTTTATAAAGGATATATGGATAGACTGCCTTTAAATGTGAAGATGAATGACATGTTTTGAAAGCGATACCTCTGCCCGCGCTCGTGGTGTAGCTTGGTGAGACTCACAGTTTCTTGCTTGGTTCTGATGATCAACAACACAGATTGTAGAGTCAGAGGATGAAGAATAAAGGCTTTAGGACCCAAGTCTTCCAAATGTTTGAACTGAACAAAGTGCTACTTTTGAAGTATAGATGTTTATCATTCTAAGGAATGTAAACATTGTGTTTTGAATTTGAAAGTTTGATAAAAGTAAAGACGCTTATTTGTATAACAAAGATGTTTTCCTGATTACATGATAGCACCTTCTGGCAAAGTAATAGCAAAAATACTTCATTAACCTTTTTTTTTTTTTTTTTCTTTTCAAGAAAAAGGGAGTGGCTTGTGAAGCTAAGCTAGGGCAGGGCATTGTTTTGAAAGCTGTGACGGTAAAATAGTATGAATTAACGTCAGGTGTTTAAAGGCTAAGGGGAATAATCATTTGGAGGGGAAATGTGGAAGAAAAGATGATTAATTGTAGAAAGGAAAGCCCCAGAGACAAGAGAATATTACAATTACTTTTAGTTAAAGAATAAAGAAGTCTAATAGAAGCAAGAACACTGAATTTCATTCCTTGTTCTTTTAAAATATGAAATATAACCATTTCTACATATAACTAGTAACTTTTATTTCTTGATGGATGTTCTCAAATTTTATTTAACACAATTCTCATTGGTGTGATTGGGAGCTAACTTTTTCCACTAAAGTTAGTGAAAAATACTTTGAGGAAAATGTATTTAAATGATTTTAAATGTTGTTGAAAATGCACTGTTAAGCCGATACATATAATTTCCAGGTTTTTCTATTCAAAGATTTCATAGAAGACCTTACATTCAGCCTAAGTGTGTCTTTTCTATTTTCAACTTCCACTTTCTTAATGGTAACATTACAGTTGTCCTAACTTATATTTTTGACATTTGGAGTTGGTTTCTGTTAGTATAACTGCATACATAACTAGTTCACTATGATGTAATTTTAAATGTAATGTGGGACAATTATGTCATTAAAAACAAATTTGGAACATGTATCAAAAATCCCAGAGGCACTAAATTTAATTGACTTTAATCTTAAGCTGCTTTGAAGTGTTTAAATTCACCAGCCTTTGGCCTTTCCATTAAACCATACAGCAATTAAGTTCAACAGACAGAGACACAGACCTTTGATTCCCAATAGCAGTTTTAAAAATCCTCCATTTTTTAAGTAGAGACTAACTTAATTTTGACTAGGAGATTGTTTTACCACTTAGACCCAAAAAAGATAACCATGAATACAAAAAGTTTCCCCTCAATTTTTTCTTCCAGCATCTCACAATATCTTTGTCAACAATTTACTATTATCATTAGTTTACTGAGGCAAGAAACCTCTGAAGGGTCAGATGCAATACCTACTGGATTAATGAAATATATGTGAATAAAAGAGAACAGACTGATTGTTAAATTATTTTTAATAGAATATTCTTTCTTTAGACCTTGGCCAAAAAATTCTAAAGCATAAGTAGGAAGAATATGGGAGGTTGGAATCATTGTGATAGTTTTATGCTGTGATGAAAATGCTTTCTAAGAATATAGTTTGCTTAGAAAAAGAAAAAAAATAGCTGTGCTAACAACAAGCTTTAAACTGAATACCACACCCTCTAAATTTAATTCCATTCATTTATTCCTGTAACAGACATTTATTGGACACCTCCTGTGTGTCCAACACTGTAAAAGTTGCTTTGGAAACTAATGACAAAATTTCAACCTATAAAGGGCACAGTGATCATATGTAAACATAGAATCTTTTTTTTCCCCATTAAGTAGTATGCAATCAAGATGGTAGCTAGAAATAATTAGAAAATATATGCAGGAGAAATTAGATAAAGCAGTGAATGGTGTAGGGCTACTACTATTCAAATGGAGGATAGGAGACTTCTTTTAGCCTGGTTCTAAATAGTGATGGATGTGACTTGGTGAAAAGAATATAGAATGACATTATTAGATTGGTGCCAGGGCAGCCCAGGCAAAGGGACAATATGCAGAAATGATAAGGAAATTATCCTCGCTGGTCTCTATGGGGAAGATGTTGAGAGAGAAAAAGTTGAATTGGATATGAGATATGGCAAGGGTCTAGGGATAATAAAAATAATACCTCACACTTACTTGCAAGGTACTGTGCTTAGTGCTTTACATACATATTATATCTTCATTGAACTTAGAAAACAAACTAGTTTAATTAAAGGAAATCTATTGATTCTCATAACCAGAAAGTCCAGGGGTGCATCTGGTTTTAGGTAAGGTCAAGTCAGGAAATGCAGATTATATCATTGGGACATAGTCTCTTGTAGTCTCTCGGCTAGCCTGAAATAATAGCTATGGCCAAAAGGACATGATACTCTGATGAGGCTGTGGTCATTGTTCACTACCAGAACCAGAGGACATAGGCATGAGATAATTCTCCAAAGAGATAGTGGCCACTTTTAGAAAGTAGGTCCAGTATGCTTACTGTATCTCATTTATCAATCTATAACTCTATGAAATTATTATCATGGTCCCCATTACACACAAAATAAACTAGAGCAGGCAAAGTATTAGGTAAACTAGGAGGAATTTAGATAATTAGGGGGTATGAAAATAAAAGGATACTAGAGTGGTGGAAGAGATGGTAGAAAAAGAGGAGGGAAAGGAAGGGTCAAATCAGAAGACAAATCAACAGTTTTTTTTTTTTTTTTAATGATTGGACATAGGAACAAAGGAGAAGATCAAAGATGAATCTAAGAGAAAAAAGGAGGAATCTAAACGCAAATTTAGGAGATTTTGACAATGCTGGTAGGGTTATTGCGAAGTAAGAGGTGGCAAAGTGTTACTCAGAAGTTCCTTTTGGGTCTGAGGGTCTGAGGATTGAGGAAATGATGTCAGCTCAGTTTCTCTGGAGCCTCTTTTAGTGACACTAAAATACATATTCATTCAGTAATTATCTGTGAGCAGCAGGTAAGGTTCTATTTTATGCCTGTGAAGAGTACAAAGGTAAAAAGGCTACACTATCACACTTGAAGTCACTTAAAATCTAATCACAGGAATAAAACAAGTATATTAATAACCAGAACATGCAATAGCACGTAAGCACCTCAGGTGAGATGCAAGCAAAGTGGCATGAGAGTTCGATGTGAGAGAGAAGAGGGGAAGGCTCCGTGACAAAGGTGCCCGTTGAGCTCCACCGTAAAGCTTGGGTTCAGGGTTAACTGGGAGGATGGCAGAGGGAGTGTGATCCAGGCTAAACACCAACATGAGCAGAGAAAGGTGAGATAGCACAATATTGATTCAAGGAACAGTGGGTTACCCCGTTTGACCAAAAATGGGAGGTATGACAGTAAAGACTGGAAGAATAAAAGTCAGAACATGGAGTCTGTTATGTAGGGAACTGGATGTGAGGGGCAGTGGTTCCTCATGATTTTTAGAACAAGGAAATGGTTTGACTAATTCATGCTTTAAGATCCAGTCAGGCAAGAGAGTATGATACAATATGGTTTAAATTATCCAGCTAGTATGGCTCACATTATCCTCTTGACTTGAATTCTGGCTGGAGCATTTTACCATATACTTAGTGAAATACTAAACCACAAACCTGAAAATAAAAAGTATGTGGCAAGTGTAAACTGTTCAACCTGATTTAATGTCCTTTCATTTTAACCTTTGATTCACATTTCTTTTAAGCCCTAAACCTTTTTAAAATTTTAATGTACTTGTTTTTGGCTGTGCTGGGTCTTTGTTGCTGTGTGTGGGCTTTCTGTAGTTGCAGCGAGAGTGGAGGGGCTACTTTCTAGTTGCAGTGTGTGGGCTTCTCATTGCAGTGGTTCCTCTTGTGGAGCACGGGCTCCAGGCGTGCAGGCCCAGTAGTTGTGGCTCATGGGCTTAGTTGCTCTGCAGCATGTGGAATCTTCCTTGAGCAGGGATCGAACCCCTGCGTTGGCAGGCAAACTCCCAACCACTGGACCAGCAGGGAAGTCCAGGTCCTAAATTTTAATCATGTGTGAAGTTAGGACACCATGAAATATGTTATTTCCATATTTTAAGAAAAGGAAAGAGTCAGTACTTTGCAAGTAGCCAATAGGTATAATTTTACTGAAGAGAGAAAATACACAAAAATAAGAGCTTTTAATAGTAATAATAGCATCTACCAAAGCATAAGCTATATTTTAACAAAATCCCTCTAGGTGATTCATGTGTGTGAGGATTAATTTTGTGTGTCCACTTAGTTGGGCTAAGGGATAACTGGTGAAACATTATTACTGGTTGTCTGTGAAGGTGTTTCTGGAAGAAATTAGCCTTTTAATTGCTAGACTGAGTACAGAAGATCACCCCTACTAAAGGGGGTGGGCATCATCCAATCTATTGAGGGCCTGACTAGGACCAAAAGGTAAAGGAAGGTTGCATTTGCCCTCTGGTTGAGCTGGGACATTATCTTCTGTCCTTGCACATTGGTAGTCCTAGCTCCCACGCCTTTGGACTTGGCTGAATCATACCAGCAGCAATCCTGGTTCTCCTGCTTGCAG